CGCAAAGTTTAATGGGAGCACAAGTTTCAAGCTTAGTAGTTGAATATTGCAGCTATTTGTGAATGAATTGTTCTCGTAAGGAGATATTTACTATGTCTCTAAGAAATGGGCCACATATATGATTTCTAAACTGATTAAATGATGCTCCCATTATGCTTTGCACGCTTAGAGTTTGAGGTTGAAGGTTTAGAGTTTAATGTTTGCAAAGGACAACCTTTTTTGAATTATCTGTATATATACAACATGACACTATCTTGTTCTAAAATAAAATCTTCGCGTGTGTGTAGGTAAGGCCCAGAAAAAGATTCAAATGTCCTGAATGTGCAAATGGCGACGTCCTTGGCGCGAACAAGGTACATTTCATGAAAAGATCAGAATTTATTCAAGAGTTTGTAAAAGTTTTCGGAAATTTACCTTTGAAGACGGCGGAGTTCCGTGCCGACCCCATTTTACCAAGACGATATACCAGCCGGGTTAAAAAGATTTAAGTATGTCGGTACTATTTAAATAATGAAGTGTTCAGTGAAGGAACCCCGTAATTTGGCCGTATTACCAGAGTGGTCGTATTAATGGGGTATCTTTATAAGAAAATGTATTGTCTTGGCGTTTCCAGAACACTTCAGTAGTTTATAAATGTGGAATTTGATCCAGTTACTTCTGTTTCTAGAATTATAGCCTGCGAACAGGCTCTCAAGTTGAATTGAGAGCCTGCATCGATGACTAATGAATTTGAATATCTGCCCCGTAACGTTCGTTTTTCCAAATATGGAATGTCTATCCTTATATGGTGTTGTTTACAACTTTCGTGCAAACTAAATTTAGACCGTGCAAACTAAATTTAGATCGTACAGTTTATACTGTTTTTCGAAATATAAGATATTCAAGCAAAAGTTCAAATGTTTTAAATACTGTTTTCTCAAAACAGAACATTTCGTGCTTTGAGATAAGACGGCCAAGACCAATTTGATCAGTTAATGTGTTTTTATGCATAGTGCTTGCAGTTGACATATATAGAGCTCAGCGGAAACATATAAATTATAGCATCTGACCAATGAGAATTTCGCGTCACGATTTGAGACGCAGATATTCAAATTCATTAGTCATCGATGCAGGCTCTCAATTCAGCTTGAGAGCCTGTTCGCAGGCTACTAGAATTATGGCTGTCTGGAAATTCAATTCCGGGAATTAAACAGCTCTGCATGTACCACCATTTAATCTCAATCTTTTGGTTCCCATGCAAATACTTTTGAATATCCCTTGGGTAACTTCGTACCAACCTAAATATAGTTACAGAAACTGATTTTGCTAGGAAGCTTTCTACGGAAGTTAATCAGTAATGGTTCGATCTTTACTTTTAAAATATGTGAATTGACTTGTGAATGGACCTAGTATTACCTAATGAACAAAATTTTGATCTAGACACGCGTCTAGACAAATATTTCATTACAGCTTGAAAGAGCATCACAAAATTAGTAATATTCCGAAGTTTCGTTGCGAAATGTTGTAAAATGCGGATAATATAGCCCTGCGAAGTTTGCCGTTTTTCAGTCATTTTGTATTACGCAGAATTTGATACCGCTTTCTGAAAAAAGGTTACAAAACCCTCTCACTGTGCGCACGCATGCATTGGGCATTATACAAAGTAAAAACATTCCAATGGCCATGCTTCAAAAACTATTTCTGGTGCCTGTAACAGCATTATCTTCCAGCTAGAGCGTGAAACGAAATCAATATTCCGATAAGGGCAGACAATTTTTGCATATATATATAGGCTTGCCCCTGGTTTGAATTATGTGAGACTAATTTTAGTTTTTTCGTGCTAAATAAAAATTAGTACAAACTTAAATGCATCCATATGTTTTTTTAATGCAATTCGGTGCATGGGCTGTATTTCGATCTATGCATCTGCAAATCAATTTTTTCCTTTGGCTTTCCCTGTAAACAGTATTTTTGATCAACTTTTGTCACACCGCTCGCGTTCTTCTTTCATAAATTAAAAATTTTATTTACTAACTTAATTTAAATTTTTGGGTATATAGCATAATATGCGTGTAAAACTAGATTAGTTGATCAGATAATTTACTCGCTCTACGGCATTCAATTTGGTTTCAATTATTTGATTGACAAAACAAAGCGATTAATCACAATGTTTTTTGACATGCGTGATTCGGTCTCCTTGTTGCAATTTCTCGCCTAATTTTTAATTAATTGATTGGCGTGAAACTCTCTGTTACATAAGATTATCTTTTTTGTTCGGGATCCTCGAACATCGTGCTGTATGCCATATACAGCCCCGAGGACGCATAGCCAATATAGTTCGACAGATTTTGGCATTGATTTGGACCATTTCTATTCGAACAACATGACAGTTTGTCAATGATTTATATAGAAAGGCGTATAGGTGGAAACATATCATTATGTATAATGCTTCTGAGAGGAATTTGAGATTCAAATATAGGCAAGTCCAGCTATAGAGTAAATTTTGATCTAGGCAAGAAGAACAAAATCACACAGCTAAAAGAGCATGTTAAAATTAGTAAAATTGCAAAGTTTGGCCGCGAAATGTTGTAAAATGCGGAAAATATTAGCCCTGTGAGATGTGCAAATTTTGTATTAATTTGTATTACGCGCGCGGGAAAATGCACCACATTTCGGGCCGAAAATGGTGCATTTTCCCCGTGCGAAATTAGCGTAATGCAAAAATGTTGGCACGTGGCTCGGCCCCTGGGTAAGTCTGTTGTATTTGCCATTTGGCATTGATGAAGAATGAAATAAACAAACTTGTTCTTCCAACCAAAACAGGAGTGTTTTCAAACTCAGAATGAATAACAACGGCGAGTTTTAAATTGTTCTATTGTATCGCTATCTCTGACAGGAAATGCAACTCATTAATTGAAGAATGCTTTTGAAATTAACAAGCTAGGTAATTAGCTATTTCCCAAAGTCCTGGGTCTAGTCGCGCGAATCCCATGTTGGAGGGACAGAGAGATATTTCATTTTTGGTCGTCTAAAAAGTTGATATTTGATAGTATAGATATACTTCGATCTACTCTTTCACATATTTGACGTTTGTCACCATATATTTTGGCCCTCCAAACGATCCCAGAATGCACTGTGATCTCTTTTAGGAAAAAGCTAATAGTTTTTCGTCGTTTATTTTTCTTGAAATTAAATTAAACTAGTTTTGAAATTTAAAGGTTTTAAAGGGTGTCATAATGCCCCCCTCATAGTTTTACCATCATTCGCGGCTTCAGTCTTCTGGCAAGTAAAAACTTCAAAATTTTAACAGTCCATCTCCTTCCCATGTCTGCAGACATCTATAATCAGGGTCCCCACGGTCCTTGAAAATCTTGGAAAGTCCTTGAATTTGTTAAAAAGAAATCCAGGCCTGGAAAAGTCCTTGAATTTCATCTTCACTAAAAGGTGGGGACCCTGTATAATTTTCTGGATATGATAGTCGTGGGTAATTGGTGTCATTTGTGCCCTCACTTTACCGGGCAAAACAATGTTAACACATATGTAAAATGTATAGTTTAAGTTACTTTCTGTTAATTAAAAGTTAATGATCCAGTAATAAAATAGATATATAGGGGGAACTTACCCCTAGCCCAGATATCCCAATACTGCATTATAGCTCGTTTTTCCACTCGCATGAATCGACTCGCAGGCCTGAGTGCTTGCGTCTAATTAAAATAAACTGCACTCAGTGTCGGGCATGTGATTGGATATGGAAGTACACGCAGCGAGCTTGCGAAATGGTTTTTGCGATGAGTGGAAAAGAGCCTTTAAAAACAATCTTTAAACATGTTCACTCTATTGCAAAGCCGGCGAATATAGCTTTATTTTGAGACTTGATTGGTTCACTACTCGGTCTGAAGGTTGCCATTTACGCGTGAAACAATTTCAGCTCGTTTAACCGGGTTGAAATTCAATCCTCGCTGAAAACTCCACATGTAATCAGACCCTAAAAGCTAGGACGAGTCAACTCGATCAATCACAAATCGTGTCGATATATTGTTAGTATACGCAAACTTAGCGCAAAATTCTTTGTCTGGGTCAAATGTAGATTCTGAGAATTTTATTCAATAATTACTTTACATTATATATAGTTATACATTATATCCAATTATATATATTATTCTACACCATATTATTTTATATACATGTTAAAAAATACTTTAGAGTGTTCGGTTGCCAAGTAAATATTTGTTGGCATTACGTTCTGTAGTTTATTAAATTTTGATTCGATTAGTTCAAAATGCGTCCGTTGCGCCTAAAATAGGCGTTTATCGTCTAATCTTATGTCGATATACGCGTTGCAATCAGTTGATTGCATTGTAATTGTCCCACGTCCCATATATTCTCATTTGTTTACAAAATGTCAGAATCGCTGTAGACGTTTTCAATGTCTTTTCAAGACTTCGAAAAACAATACGTATGCCATGCGCGCAATTTCTGATGTAGTCCCATCGGAAAGTTGACTGTTCATTCATACTTGCATGCAATGCTGCATGTTTGCTATAAGTTTATTTCCATAGAACCGGGTATATATTTGTTTTCGCATTCCACACAGTTGAGTTTTCCGTTGCCATAATCTCTTCGTATCTTTCTGTTCATTATTTATCCGGTTCTATATAGCACGACCAAAGCACGGGCAATAGGACAGGTGTAGTGTTGTTAAATAGAAAGTTAGAAATGGTATTATACTTACTCATGCATTATAATTATGTTTAAAAGATCAGAATATTCATAACTTCTTATTTTGTTTCATAAATGGTTCTTTAATATTCGAAACAAATTCCACTTGTGCTTCGTCTGCCATCGCCATGTTTACTCGTCCCAATCTACATGCTGCACGGCATTGCCGCCCCTCCTGGCAAAATAATAAGCAAGCGAGAAAAATTAAGGAGAAAATAAGAGGATAGGAACATTGTGGGCGTTTCGTGGGCGTGTCGTCGTTCTGGGCGAATCGGCTTTCGCAATCTTGTATCACATGACTAATTCAAATTGTCATAGGTGGGAAGCAGCATTACGTCATCCCTACGTCAAATAAAACGTTATAAAACGCGTCGAGGATACGTTTGTGCCATATATGGAAGTTATGGATAGGTTTGTGCCATATATGGAATGTCACTGCATCCAGCTTATGACAACGATGTTCCTACCCAGTTATTTTCTCCTTAATTTTTCTCGCTTGCTTATTATTTTGCCAGGAGGGGTGGCAATGCCGTGCAGCATGTAGATTGGGACGAGTAAACATGGCGATGGCCATTCTCGTACCCTGAGCCCTTCTTACGCGCGTTCGACCGAGCAGACGAAGCAGAAATGGAATTTATTTCAAATATTAAAGAACTATTTATGAAACAAAATAAGAAGTTATGAATATTCTGATCTTTTAAACATAATTATAATGCATGAGTAAGTATAATACCATTTCTAACTTTCTATTTAACAACACTACACCTGTCCTATTGCCCGTGACCAAGGGCTGTCACATGCGACTTTGGATCATACCCCAGTATTGTTCTTGCTATTTTATTTTGCACCAGCTGTCAAAGAAAATAAGATAAAAAGCCATATGAGATTTTGAAATAACTTATTATAAACAATTGCATACTATAATGACTAGGCCTTACTTTATTCGACTCTATTGGTACAGTATATAATTTGCTATTGCAGGTGAAAAACAGTTCGTATTTTGCTGAATCATTCTGCATGGAAGCACAAAAAATCATATTTTGGACTGACTTTGAACCTTCAACATTATACAATTGACGGAAGAAATCATTAGCATAACTTCCGCGAGTTCAACATTATAGTCAATATAGATTTACTGTTCGTTTGACGGAACTGTTTGAATTTTTTCCAATTGATAAGTTACGTATGTCGGTCATGGATCGGCGCTCACTTTATTAAAAATAACCATTTCGAAACACTGGCATGCAGTCAAATGATTTGCCAAAAACACATTTGCCAGAAACTCGGTTTTTTCCCTGATAAATTCAAGGTGGAGATTTTCCACGTATTGTTTTGAGATGCATGCATGCAGAGAAGATATCGTGTGAATTATTACTAGCGCTAAAACAGACGCTTACCGTGCATTGCTGGAACACGTAGTCCTGAGTTGTGTCTTTTCTTAATATTTTCTTTAATTCTCCGCCAGACTCTTCGTCCTGTACCTGTGGTGGGATTATTAGTCGTTGGTGACATTGGTTTCGGCTTTGATACTCTAATTGTACGTATCGGTGGCTTTATAGCTGTAAATCCCGCGTCTGACTCATTCACGAGGAAAGCCGTCATGATAGACAAGACCAATACAAGCAATACAATTGAACACTTCATGATGAAAAGTTAGTTTGCGTTTTTTCCACGACCAAATTACCTTCGATTATACAAGTCTTATAATTTTCTCTTCGCACTGAAATATACACTCAAACTGCAGCAGTTGAAAGACCAAGATATACACCGTTTTTGCAGTTGGAATCTGTTTGGAGACCAGTATACACTTGGCGACGGTCGAGATTGCTTTTGAATAAATTGCGTCGACCGCCCGTCTTTTATAACGCGCCGTCCCCATACCGCGATGCATTGCGCACCGATGCGCGCAAATCACATAGTATATCGGTAGCAAAATCTTAATTTGTAACGAATGTTGCTCGCCGCCTTCTGCATTCCGTTTTAAACTTTTTTCCGACAATGAGATGCTAAATTTAACGCGCGCTACGGTTAATTTGAGCCTGTCAAATCAAATGAAGCCCGTGGCTATGATACTCAAAATGAGATAAGAGATATTAGTTTTTGCGTATCTCTGTCGCGCGGTGCTAGCGGTGGTTTTGGTTTGGGCAGGGCTCGCTTTCAATCGCAAGCTCGTCCTGGGAAATACAAGAGGAAGCTTAAGGTGGATGAACTTATAATCCCATTCTGGTACGAGGACGTGACATGTTTTACTTTTTTATTACAAAATGAATCCATAGCTTTTACTTTAATTTGTTGCTACCAGATCTTAAGCACCCGAAAAAGCACTCATTATTTAAATTCTCATGCATTATTTATATACTACTAATTCGACCTTCCATGCAGAACATATTTACAATCCGGACAACCTAAGAACATCCAGGGCAGTGTGCGCTAAATGCCACTCCAGTCGTCCTCTCGCTATCTGTAAGAACTTGTTGTTGACAGTTTAGCCAAAGCCAACATGCAGTTATGTAGATGTTCAAAATTGAATGCATGCATGGAATATTCTATATAAACAGTCCGTCAAGGAACATTTACCTGTCAATGAAAGATTGTATACAAATTTCTAAAGATCTATTTTCAAATCGTTTAACATTGTTAGCTGTAGGTTTTAAAACATTTATACGTTACGTTTACGCGAAAATGTAAACAGTACCTTCACCGTTTTTTCCATACTGGCAGTATAGTGAAGCTAGCCATGGCAAGTGTCATGCTATGCCAATAATCCTGCATCTAAATAGATTAAAACAATACTAACATTTCTAATTGTTTGAATAATGCAATTCATTAAAAATTTACATAGCATGTGTCGTATACGGCCTCAGCTGTTAAGAATCGGTTTTGAAACAACCTTTCGTAAAACATAATGCGGCAAATTTAATTCTGAAAACTCACTAGATCGAAGTGGCGAGCTAGCCATATAGCAACAGGCCTGCATGCTATGCAAACTTTTAATGGTTTGCATTATTTAATGGTTTGCATTTGCCTTTAGAAATGGGTTGTCCTTAACCTATTTAGATGGCTATAGCTTCTCCACTGATACGTAGTAGGTATAGAAGATTCTGATCCACTAAAAAAGAAGAAGGTTTTTATTAACAACCAAATAAGTAAACGTGTTTTAATTTCGCGAACTAAATTCGTCCACCGTAATTCGAACTTGTTGTCCATGCACTTTCGGCATAAAAAAATCCCTAATGAAAAAGGCATGGCAAGTGCAATATGCATGGGCAAAGTTCAAATCTTGAAACGAGTTAGAAACGTCTTAAGTTTTGGTGAAGTTTACTTCCTTCACCACTTTAACGAGTTTAGCGGCGTGTAAAGTGCGCGTGTAGATCAAATGTTGCAAATTTAGACCGAAAAAGACCGTTTGAAATTGACAGATGAATGGAATGCAACATAATGTATCCATTTTCCTCGTGGGAACATTGCAAAAATACGACCAGAAAATTTTTTTTTTGAGGTGTCTAAAAATTACACGGATTTTATTAAAATGATTTTTGGCCGTTCCTCTTTTTAATTTGTTTGCTGAGCCGCTTCAATATCAACTATGTGCAAGTTCTTGAATGAATTCCACATCTTTTGCAAAGGTTTGGATGGCCTTGCAATCGGACCTCCATCGCTGTTGTTTGTCTGAATGTAAAATTGATCATGTTAGCATGCACGCTATAAATACCAGCAATAACAAAAGCAGGTCAAAATTAGTAAGTGCATAAAATTTGTGCCACTAGCGTCAAAATTTGTGCCACTAAAACTGTGCCATTATAGCGTCGTTTTAGAAATAGAAAATTTAATGTAGGAAATGTCAATCCCATGCGTGCAAATCCTCGTGCATTTTCTTATATATTTTCGAATCTTGTATTGTTTTTAAAAATAGCGCGAGTGCCAGAGTTTTCAACAGGAAGCTTCCAATTTTTTGGAATTGCCAACTTTGAACTGCTCTGACTTTTCATTTTTCCTGTTTATAGCGCACTAACTGTATTTAAATCGATTCAAAAAGCATGATACTTAAAAGTTTGTAACTGAATGCATGTGATAAATAATGGCGTCTCAGTCGTCTCTCAAAAGCGTCGTTTCAGTTTAATTGGCTGATCATGATCACGTGATATGAAATAAAAATTACCATTTGTTCAACGTGGTTCAACACTATCAAAGTTTCTGTGATTACAGCAGGAATTTTGCATATAGATAAATTTAAAGTTTTGAAGAATTTGTAACCAATGTTTGAGGGAACTAACTCGGTGTTTAACACTAAGCCAGTTCCCTCAAACATTTCTTACAAATCCTTCAAAACTTAAAATTTACCTTTTCAAAACTCCTACTGCATGACTGTGATCACAGATAGTGTAAACCAGCCTTACCTAAACAAAATAAACTCCATTATCATATTAATTCTTCACTAAAACATTCTTGGGACGTTTTTGTAGGATTTTTATTATGTACATGATATAACTGAGAAATGTTTTTCTGAGAATTTGTTTTGTATTTAATTCAATTAAAAATTCGACAAAAATATATCTATTTTGGTGTTATAGATAAAACAAAGAATGAATGTTTTCATTCCTGCAATGGTAAAAATATTTTCATTCGGTGAAAGATGGAATTTTTTACCATTGTATACTCATAAACATTCCTTATTTGTATAATATGTTCCATTTTTGGAAAACAACATAAATTCTCGGAATCTGAAAACCCTCCAGCAATTATCCAAATAAGGATATGTATTTGCACATTATTAAATTGAAGCGCAAAGAAATGAGATGGGTTTGAATGCTTTTCATGCTAGATTATTTTCCAACTTGGGCAGAAAAATGTAAATTTTTGGCCCCATTTTGGTCAACATTATGATCAAAAACATAAGCACCCAATTGTTTTTGATACACTCGTCAATTTGATAGAATTCCAAAATTTCACAGATTTCCAATGTTATAGTCAAGTGAAATTTCTTCAGGCTAAAAGAGTTAATAAAACAAAGGTCTTGAAGTTCGTTTCAAACGCTGACATCCCTATATTTTTGAAGCAACGGTTTATCGTTTATATTGAGTTTCTCACGCATTGTTGAACGGAATTCCAAACGGGTAGCTATTGCCCAATCGTTCGGGGATCCGAAGTACCTGCGATTTTAACATCCTTACCCTGAAAATCTAACCAATCACTGGTGTCGAAGTAAAGCTAGCTTTTTCTCTTCAATTATTTTAAGACCTTGAGTTATCAGGTCCGACCAAGGATTAAACCTGCATGGGTCCCCCAGCTTGAAAGACAAGCGTAGTGACCGCCAAATTTTACCTGCTCGAAAGTATATAGTCGGTGCGTATATTTATCAAACAGATTTAAGAATTAGCCATGCATTACGATCGATGGCTTTTCCATGTTTATTTATTCCTTGTATAATATGAGTAATCGAACCGGTTGTTAGGAAAATAATATTGTGCGGAAATATTGTGAGCGGAAATTTTAAATATTTTTTTAGGGAGAGTGCAATTAAATTGGTGTGCAAGCACATTCTCGTCAAGTCGGCGATTCGCTGCCTTTCGTTGCGCAACGAATGGGGAACTCGTGAATTAAGCTCGCCCATTCGTTTTTGTCGCTTACTCGTTTTTCCCCTTACAATGCAATGTCATATAGTCAGCCTATATGGCTATTCTAGATGCATTGTATCAATTGTAGATATCTATGCACGTGTAACGAATATCTCAATGATCAATTAATTAGAAATTGCTCCAATCATTATTGCAATCAGATCTTTTCGCGACAAGAAGAACACAAATCATTTGTCAGTTAAATGTGAGATTAAATATTTAATTTGGTCATGCAAATTGAAACCAAATTGCAACGCTTATCTGGGAAGATATCTCTAAACTAAACTATATATTGTAACTTTATTTATATCGTGGGTGTACATGCATGACATATCAATTCTAAATGGATCCGCTCCTGTTAATTCTGGTAGGAGTACTGCACCTAAATTAAAATAAACTAACGGCTTTATTTATACTGGATAGCTCCATTAGTTCTAAACCATTTTCCTTATAGAAGTCCAGTATGAGTTATTGATCCAGTGTTAGGCTACTATAGGAAAAACCTGAACTAAACTTTACTTACCGACTGCATGCATGCATCAGTTCTAGAATGTTCTCCCGCCATCCCCTATATTATGTGTACTACTTACAAGTCGGAAACCTAAAGTAAACTACAGTGTGTATCAAAATAATTCGAATCCAAATTTGGCGTGTAATAACGCAGAATATATTTGACAAATTCGGTTGGTTTTTACACCATTGTTAAGTTCATTTATTTACCTTTCAAATGACATGTTGTACGCGTCATTTAGTTGGAAAATGAAGGAGTATTGCTTTGACAAAAAAAGTCCATAAAAATCACAATTTTCCGCCGATGGGAATTGGACATTTTTTCTTTCAAAGTTAGTCCCACAAGGCTTTGAAATGCTAATCATCACTGAAAACTAAAATGCAAATTTAACGCGAATTTCTTCTCGTTCAACATGTTGAAGGCATAACACGAATTTATGTAAATTTTGCTACATAACAGTTTGTTGATTAATTAAATTTGCATTATCTTTTGTTTGTACGTCTCACTTCGAATTCCCATCGGCGGAAAAATTTGATTTCGAGCAACCAGTTTTAACACACGATTTCTTGGTCATTTTTGATCTTATTGATATAAGAACGATATAATCGGAAACCTAATAGGCTATTCTTTATTGCCATATAAAAATTATATGGTTTACTTTAGTATTTTATAAACAGCAGTCTGTCAAATTTGGATTCGAATTATTTTGATACACACTGTATAGACTGATTATAGCTGTATATATATACCAATTCTTAGCAATTCAATCTCAGAACCATCCACAGAAATACGGAAAACTAGACCCAAATTCCTTTTCCAGCATGCAGACAATTTCAAAAAATATATTTCTCAAACTCATTAAGAAATACATGTCAAGAAGCTGACAAAGTGACGTCCAATTGAAGTATCAAACGAATAATGCAGCGACAACCGCGATAATGCTTTGATAAATGCATGGATAACTAATTCATGCGATAATGCGTGGATAATTAATTCATTTTATTTGGAATATCGTAGTCCGATCCGACTACGAAACAACTTTATCAATCCGATCCAATCCGAAATGAATATTTTTGTTCCGAAATCCGAACGAATCCGATCGGATTCGGATCGGATTTGCACATATCTATTAGGTACTCCCCAAATTGATTCAACTACGTGACGTATGCACGTACTGTACCGGTACATATGTTTCGGTGTATGTATGAATTATGACTGTAGGACTCATCCAATTCTGCCCTTCATTACATTACATTACATTGCATTGCATTGCATTGCATTATACATTGTACATTATACATTATACATTATACATTATACATTATATACATTATACATTATACATTACATTATACATTATACATTATACATTATACATTATACATTATACATTATACATTATACATTACGGTATAATTGACATAGAGATGAATGGCTATACCACTGTTTCAGTTTTGCGGAAAAACGTTCTTCCAAAGTGTAGACGCTATAGCAACACATAAATATTTGTCAAATGGCCGCCTCAAGTATCATGATATTGTGTTTGAAACGATCTAAATTATGCAAGAAGATGCATGTTCACATGGGAACGAGGTTGGTTCACATGGTCGATAGTACAACTAATTTAAGCACGTAACAATTTGATTCGTAAGGAGTATGACAGATTTAAAAATCTCGCCTCATTATAAATATTCGAATTCTGGCTTTAAAATCAATTCCCTGAATATGTTCAAAAGATTGCTTTATGTAGTCCTATAGTTTTGCGATAAGTGCCTTGAACCCATTGGCCTCTAGTATATATATATATATATATATATATATATATATATATATATATATATATATATATATATATATATATATGTTATATATATATATATATATATATATATATATATATATATATATATATATATATATATATATATATATATATATATATATATATATATATATATATATATATATATATATATATATATATATATATATATATACCTTAAATTCTACTAAGCGCGCAAAGCTTAATGGGAGCACAAGTTTCAAGCTTAATAGTTGAATATTGCAGCTATTGGTGAATGAATTGTTCTCGTAAGGAGATATTTACCATGTCTCTAAGAAATGGGCCCAAAAAAGGATTTCTAAACTGATTAAATGATGCTCCCATTATGCTTTGCACGCTTAGAGTTTGAGGTTGAAGGTTTAGAGTTTAATCTTTGCAAAGAACAACCTTTTTTGAATTATCTGTATATATACAACATGACACTATCTTGTCCTAAAATAAAATCTTCGCGTGTGTGTAGGTAAGGCCCAGAAAAAGATTCAAATGTCCTGAATGTGCAAATGGCGACGCCCTTGGCGCGAACAAGGTACATTTCATGAAAAGATCAGAATGTATTCAAGAATTTGTAAAAACTTTTGGAAATTTACCTTTGAAGACTACGGAGTTCCGTGCCGACCCCATTTTACCAAGACGATATACCAGCCGGGTTAAAAAGATTTAAGTATATGTCGGTACTATTTAAATAATGAAGTGTTCAGTGAAGGAACCCCGTAATTTGGCCGTATTACCGGAGTGGTCGTATTAATGGGGTATCTTTATAAGAAAATGTATTGTCTTGGCGTTTCCAGAACACTTCAGTAGTTTATAAATGTGGAATTTGATCCAGTTACTTCTGTTTCTAGAATTATGGCTGCCTGGAAATTCAATTCCGGGAATTAAACAGCTCTGCATGTACCACCATTTAATCAATCTTTTGGCTCCCGTGTAAATACTTTGAATATCCCTTGGGTAACTTCGTACCAACCTAAATATAGTTACAGAAACTGATTTTGCTAGGAAGCTTTCTACGGAAGTTAATCAGTAATGGTTCGATCGTTTACTTTTAAAATATGTGAATTGACTTGTGAATGGACCTAGTATTACCTAATGAACAAAATTTTGATCTAGACACGCGTCTAGACAAATATTTCATTACAGCTTCAAAGAGCATCACAAAATTAGTAATATTCCGAAGTTTCGTTGCGAAATGTTGTAAAATGCGGATAATATAGCCCTGCGAAGTTTGCCGTTTTTCAGTCATTTTGTATTACGCAGAATTTGATACCGCTTTCTGAAAAAAGGTTACAAAACCCTCTCACTGTGCGCACGCATGCATTGGGCATTATACAAAGTAAAAACATTCCAATGGCCATGCTTCAAAAACTATTTCTGGTTGCCTGTAACAGCATTATCTTCCAGCTAGAGCGTGAAACGAAATCAATATTCCGATAAGGGCAGACAATTTTTGCATATATATATAGGCTTGCCCCTGGTTTGAATTATGTGAGACTAATTTTAGTTTTTTCGTGCTAAATAAAAATTAGTACAAACTTAAATGCATCCATATGTTTTTTTAATGCAATTCGGTGGGCTGTATATTTCGATCTATGCATCTGCAAATCAATTTTTCCCTTTGGCTTTCCCGGTATAAACAGTATTTTTGATCAACTTTTGTCACACCGCTCGCGTTCTTCTTTAATAAATTAAAAATTTTATTTACTAACTTAATTTAAATTTTCGGGTATATAGCATAATATGCGTGTAAAACTAGATTAGTTGATCAGATAATTTACTCGCTCTACGGCATTCAATTTGGTTTCAATTATTTGATTGACAAAACAAAGCGATTAATCACAATGTTTTTTGACATGCGTGATTCGGTCTCCTTGTTGCAATTTCTCGCCTAATTTTTAATTAATTGATTGGCGTGAAACTCTCTGTTACATAAGATTATCTTTTTTGTTCGGGATCCTCGAACATCGTGCTGTATGCCATATACAGCCCCGAGGACGCATAGCCAATATAGTTCGACAGATTTTGGCATTGATTTGGACCATTTCTATTCGAACAACATGACAGTTTGTCAATGATTTATATAGAAAAGTGTATAGGTGGAAACATATCATTATGTATAATGCTTCTGAGAGGAATTTGAGATTCAAATATAGGCAAGTCCAGCTATAGAGTAAATTTTGATCTAGGCAAGAAGAACAAAATCACACAGCTAAAAGAGCATGTTAAAATTAGTAAATTGCAAAGTTTGGCCGCGAAATGTTGTAAAATGCGGAAAATATTAGCCCTGCGAGATGTGCAAATTTTGTATTAATTTGTATTACGCGCGCGGGAAAATGCACCACATTTGGGCCGAAAGTGCATGGTGCATTTTCCCGTGCGAAATTAGCGTAATGCAAAAATGTTGGCACGTGGCTCTGGCCCCTGGGTAAGTCTGTTGTATTTGCCATTTGGCATTGATGAAGAATGAAATAAACAAACTTGTTCTTCCAACCGAAACAAGAATGTTTTCAAACACAGAATGAATAACAACGGCGAGTTTTAAATTGTTCTATTGTATCGCTATCTCTGACAGGAAATGCAACTCATTAATTGAAGAATGCTTTTGAAATTAACAAGCTAGGTAATTAGCCATTTCCCAAAGTCCTGGGTCTAGTCGCGCGAATCCCATGTTGGAGGGACAAGAAATATGGCAGCACACATTTCAATTAAAAGTTTAATATAAAAAGGAGATATTTCATTTTTGGTCGTCTAAAAAGTTGATATTTGATAGTATAGATATACTTCGATCTACTCTTTCACATATTTGACGTTTGTCACCATATATTTTGGCCCTCCAAACGATCCCAGAATGCACTGTGATCTCTTTTAGGAAAAAGCTAATAGTTTTTCGTCGTTTATTGGTCTTGAAATTAAATTAAACTAGTTTTGAAATTTAAAGCTTTTAAAGGGTGTCATAATGCCCCCCTCATAGTTTACCATTATTCACGGCTTCAGTCTTCTGGCGAGTAAAAACTTCAAAATTTTAACAGTCCATCTCCTTCCCATGTCTGCAGACATCTATAATCAGGGTCCCCACGGTCCTTGAAAATCCTGGAAAGTCCTTGAATTTGTTAAAAAAAAATCCAGGCCTGGAAAGTCCTTGGAAACTGATAAGGTCCTTGAAAGTCCTGGAATTTTTTTTCAGTAGGCTGGAAATAATTGAAGAATAATTAACTGCCCAATTATTGCCCAAATGTTTATTTTCTCCAATTTCAATTAAAGTTATGTATAACAATTGTCCAAAAGTTGTTTCGATGTCATTTTTTTTCTGATTGCATTCCTCTCCTTAAGTTTAAGGATAAAAGTTAGATGATTTTCAAAGATTTTTCCAGTTGCCAGGTCCTTGAATATACTGGAAAAGGTCCTTGAAAGTCCTGGAAAAGTCCTTGAATTTCATCTTCTCTAAAAGGTGGGGACCTGTATAATTTTCTGGATATGATAGTCATGCATGGGGTCTTGGGTTATTGGTGTCATTTGTGCCCTCACTTTACCGGGCAAAACAATGTTAACACATATGTAAAATGTATAGTTTAAGTTACTTTCTGTTAAAGTTAATGATCCAGTAATAAAATAGATATATTGGGGTAACTTACCCCTAGCCCGGATATCCCAATACTGCATTATAGCTCGTTTTTCCACTCGCATGAATCGACTCGCAGGTCCGAGTGCTTGCGTCTAATTAAAATAAACTGCACTCAGTGTCGGGCATTGTGATTAGATATGGAAGTGCACGCAGCGAGCTTGCGAAATGGTTTTTGCGATGAGTAGAAAAGAGCCTTTAAAAACAATCATAAAACATGTTTACTCTTTTGCAAAGCCGCCGAATATAGCTTTATTTTGAGACTTGATTGGTTCGCTACTCGGTCTGAAGGTTGCCACTTACGCGTGAAACAATTTCAGCTCGTTTAACCGGGTTGAAATTCAATCCTCGCTGAAAACTCCACATGTAATCAGACCCTAAAAACTAGGACGAGTCAGCTCGATCAATCACAAATCGTGTCGATATATTGTTGGTATACCCAAACTTAGCGCAAAATTCTTTGTCTGGGTCAAATGTAGATTCTGAGAATTTTATTCAATAATTACTTTACATTATATATAGTTATACATTATATCCAATTATATATATTATTCTACACCATATTATTTTATATACATGTTAAAAAATACTTTAGAGTGTTCGGTTGCCAAGTAAATATTTGTTGGCATTACGTTCTGTATTTTATTAAATTTTGATTCGATTAGTTCAAAATGCGTCCGTTGTGCCTAAAATAGGCGTTTATCGTCTAATCTTATGTCGATATACGCGTTGCAATCAGTTGATTGCATTGTAATTGTCCCACGTCCCATATGTTCTCATTTGTTTTAATTGTTTACAAAATGTCAGAATCGCTGTAGACGTTTTCAATGTCTTTTCAAGACTTCGAAAAACAATACGTATGCCATGCGCACAATTTCTGATGTAGTCCCATCGGAAAGTTGACTGTTCATACTTGCATGCAATGCTGCATGTTTGCTATAAGTTTATTTCCATAGAACCGGGTATATATTTGTTTTCGCATTCCACACAGTTGAGTTTTCCGTTGCCATAATCTCTTCGTATCTTTCTGTTCATTATTTATCCGGTTCTATATAGCGCGACCAAGGCACGGGCAATAGGACAGGTGTAGTGTTGTTAAATAGAAAGTTAGAAATGGTATTATACTTACTCATGCATTATAATTATGTTTAAAAGATCAGAATATTCATAACTTCTTATTTTGTTTCATAAATAGTTCTTTAATATTCGAAACAAATTCCACTTGTGCTTCGTCTGCCATCGCCATGTTTACTCGTCCCAATCTACATGCTGCACGGCATTGCCGCCCCTCCTGGCAAAATAATAAGCAAGCGAGAAAAATTAAGGAGAAAATAAGAGGGTAGGAACATTGTGGGCGTTTCGTGGGCGTGTCGTCGTTCTGGGCGAATCGGCTTTCGCAATCTTGTATCACATGACTAATTCAAATTGTCATAGGTGGGAGGCAGCATTACGTCATCCCTACGTCAAATAAAACGTTATAAAACGCGTCGAGGATACGTTTGTGCCATATATGGAAGTTATGGATAGGTTCGTGCCATATATGGAAGTGTCACTGCATCCAGCTTATGACAACGATGTTCCTACCCTCTTATTTTCTCCTTAATTTTTCTCGCTTGCTTATTATTTTGCCAGGAGGGGCGGCAATGCCGTGCAGCATGTAGATTGGGACGAGTAAACATGGCGATGGCCATTCTCGTACCCAGAGCCCTTCTTACGCGCGTTCGACCGAGCAGACGAAGCAGAAATGGAATTTGTTTCAAATATTAAAGAACTATTTATGAAACAAAATAAGAAGTTATGAATATTCTGATCTTTTATACATAATTATAATGCATGAGTAAGTATAATGCCATTTCTAACTTTCTATTTAACAACACTACACCTGTCTTATTGCCCGTGACCAAGGGCTGTCAAATGCGACTTTGGATCATACCCCAGTATTGTTCTTGCTATTTTATTTTGCACCAGCTGTCAAAGAAAATAAGATAAAAAGCCATATGAGATTTTGAAATAACTTATTATAAACAATTGCATACTATAATGACTAGGCCTTACTTTATTCGACTGTATTGGTACAGTATAATTTGCTATTGCAGGTGGAAAACAGTTCGTATTTTGCTGAATCATTCTGCATGGAAGCACAAAAAATCATATTTTGGACTGACTTTAAATCTTCAACCGTATTATACAATTGACGGAAGAAATCATTAGCATAACTTCCGCGAGTTCAACATTAGATTTACTGTTCGTTTGACGGAACTGTTTGAATTTTTTCCAATTGATAAGTTACGTATGTCGGTCATGGATCGGCGCTCACTTTATTAAAAATAACCATTTCGAAACACTGGCATGCAGTCAAATGATTTGCCAAAAACACATTTGCCAGAAACTTTGTTTTTTCCCCGATAAATTCAAGGTGGAGATTTTCCACGTATTGTTTTGGCATGCATGCAGGGAAGATATCGTGTGAATTATTACTAGCGTTAAAACAGACGCTTACCGTGCATTGCTGGAACACGTCGTCTTGGGTTGTCTTTCTTCCTAATTTCCTCTTTAAACTTCCTGATTCTTCGTCCTCTACCTGTGGTGGGATTATTAGTCGTTGGTGACATTATTACTACTCTAATTGTACGTATCTTCGGCCTCCAAGGTAAAAGTCCCGCGTCTGACTCATTCACGAGGAAAGCCGTCATGATAGACAAGACTAATACAAGCAATACAATTGAACACTTCATGATGAAAAGTTGGTTTGCGTTTTTTCCACGACCAAATTACTTCGATTATACAAGTCTTATAATTTTCTCTTCGCACTGAAATATACACTCAAACTGCAGCAGTTGAAAGACCAGGATATACACCGTTTTCGCAGTTGGAATCTGTTTGGAGACCAGTATACACTTGGCGACGGTCGAGATTGCTTTTGAATAAATTGCGTCGACCGCCCGTCTTTTATAACGCGCCGTCCCCATACCGCGATGCATTGCGCACCGATGCGCGCAAATCACATAGTATATCGGTAGCAAAATCTTAATTTGTAACGAATGTTGCTCGCCGCCTTCTGCATTCCGTTTTAAACTTTTTTCCGACAATGAGATGCTAAATTTAACGCGCGCTGCGGTTAATTTGAGCCTTTCAAATCAAATGAAGCCCGTGGCTATGATACTCAAAATGAGATAAGAGATATTAGTTTTTGCGTATCTCTGTCGCGCGATGCTAGCGGTGGTTGGTTTGGCCAGGGCTCGCTTTCAATCGCAAGCTCGTCCTGGGAAATACAAGAGGAAGCTTAAGGTGGATGAACTTATAATCCCATTCTAGTACGAGGACGTGACATGTTTTACTTTTTCATTACAAAATGAATCCATAGCTTTTACTTTAATTTGTTGCTACCAGATCTTAAGCACCCAAAAAAGCACTCATTATTTAAATTCTCATGCATTATTTAAATACTACTAATTCGACCTTCCATGCAGAACATATTTACAATCCGGACAACCTAAGAACATTCAGGTCAGTGTGCGCTAAATGCCACTCCATTCGTATTCTCGCTATAGTTTATCTGTAGGAACTTGTTGACAGTTTAGCCAAAGCCAACATGCAGTTATGTAGATGTTCAATATTGTTAGTATTGGTGGTCTTATGTAATATTGTGTAATGGTTTAGTTGTATTTTGCATGCATGCATGCATGCGCATGCATGGAATATTCTATATAAACAGTCCGTCAAGGAACATTTACTTGTCAATGAAAGATTGTATACAAATTTGTAAAGATCTATTTTCAAATGGTTTAACATTGTTAGCTGTAGGTTTTAAAACATTCACGTAACGTTTACGCGAAAATGTAAACAGTACCTTCACCGTTTTTTCCGTACTGGCAGTTTTGTGAAGCTAGCCATATGGCAAGTGTCATGCTATGCTAATGAACTTGCATCGAAATAGATTAAAACAATACTAATTGTTTGAATAATGCAATTCATTAAAAATTTGCATAGCATGTGTCGTATACGGCCTCAGCTGTTAAGAATCGGTTTTGAAACAACCTTTCGTAAAACTTAATGCGGCAAATTTATTTCTGAAAACTCACTATAGATCGAAGTGGCGAGCTAGCCATATAGCAACAGGCCTGCTTTGCAAACTTTTAATGGTTTGCATTGTTTAATGGTTTTCATTTGCCTTTAGAAATGGGTTGTCTTTAACCTATTTAGATGGCTATAGCTTCTCCACTGATACCTAGTAGGTATAGAAGATTTTTATCCACTAAAGAAGAAGGTTTTTATTAACAACCAAATAACGTGTTTTAATTTCGCGAGCTAAATTCGTCCACCGTAATTCGAACTTGTTGTCCATGCACTTTCGGCATAAAAGAATCCCTAATGAAAAAAGCATGGCAAGTGCAATATGCATGGGCAAAGTTCAAATCTTGAAACGAGTTAGAAACGTCTTAAGTTTTGGTGAAGTTTACTTCCTTCACCACTTTAAAGAGTTTAGCGGCGTGTAAAGTGCGCGTGTAGATCAAATGTTGCAAATTTAGACCGAAAAAGACCGTTTGAAATTGTGACAGATGAATGGAATGCAACATAATGTATCCATTTTCCTCGTGGGAACATTGCAAAAATACGACCAGAAAATTTTTTTTTTGATGTGTCTAAAAATTACACGGATTTTATTAAAATGATTTTTGGCCGTTCCTCTTTTTAATTTGTTTGCTGAGCCGCTTCAATATCAACTATGTGCAAGTTCTTGAATGAATTCCACATCTTTTGCAAAGGTTTTGATGGCCTTGCAATCGGACCTCCATCGCTGTTGTTTGACTGAATGTAAAATTGATCATGTTAGCATGCACGCTATAAATACCAGCAATAACAAAACCAGGTCAAAGTTAGTAAGTGCATAAAATTTAAAGTCTACGTTTTAAAAACTGTGCCACTAGTGTCGTTTAAGAAATAGAAAATTTAATGTAGGAAATGTCAATCCCATGCGTGCAAACCCTCGTGCATTTTCTTATATATTTTCGAATCTTGTATTGTTTTTAAAAATAGCGCGAGTGCCAGAGTTTTCAACAAAAAGCTTCCAATTTTTTGGAATTGCCAACTTTGAACTGCTCTGACTTTTCATTTTTCCTGTTTATAGCGCACTAACTGCATTTAAATCGATTCAAAAAACATGATACTTAAAAGTTTGTAACTGAATGCATGTGGTAAATAATGGCGTCTCAGTCGTCTCTCAAAAGCGTGGTTTCAGTTTAATTGGCTGATCATGATCACGTGATATGAAATAAAAATTACCATTTTTCTGAGCGTGCAATGCCAACGGAATTCTAGAGGTGGTTCAATACTATCAAATTTTCTGTGATCACAGTAGGAATTTTGCATATAGATAAATTTAAAGTTTTGAAGAATTTGTAACCAATGTTTGAGGGACCTGACTCGGTGTTTAACACTAAGCCAGTTCCTTCGAACATTTCTTACAAATCCTTCAAAACTTAAAATTTACCTATGTAAAACTCCTACTGCATGTGATCACAGACAGTATAAACCAGCCTTACGTAAACAAAATAAACTCCATTATCATATTAATTCTTCACTAAAACATTCTTAATTGGGACGTTTTTGTAGGATTTATTATGTACATGATATAACTGAGAAATGTTTTTCTGAGAATTTGTTTTGTATTTAATTCAATTAAAGATTCGACAAAAATATATCTATTTTGGTGTTATAGATAAAACAAACAATGAATGTTTTCATTCCTGTAATGGTAAAAATATTTTCATTCGGTGAAAGATGGAATTTTTTACCATTGTACTCATAAACATCCCTTATTTGTATAATATGTTCCATTTTTGGAAAACAACATAAATTCTCGGAATCTGAAAACCCTCCAGCAATTATCCAAATAAGGATATGTATTTGCACATTATTAAATTGAAGCGCAAAGAAATGAGATGGGTTTGAATGCTTTTCATGCTAGATTATTTTCCAACTTGGGCAGAAAAATGTAAATTTTTTGCCCCATTTTGGTCAACATTATGATTAAAAACATAAGCACCCAATTGTTTTTGATACACTCGTCAATTTGATAGAATTTCAAAATTTCACAGATTTCCAATGTTATAGTCAAGTGAAATTTCTTCAGGCTAAAAGAGTGAATAAAAGAAAGGTCTTGAAGTTCGTTCCAAACGCTGACATCCCTATATTTTTGAAGCAAATGTTTATCGTTTATAATTATTGAGTTTCTCACGCATTGTTGAACGGAATTCCAAACGGGTAGCTATTGCCCAATCGTTCGGGGATCCGAAGTACCTGCGATTTAAACATCCTTACCCTGAAAATCTAACCAATTACTGGTGTCGACGTAAAGGTAGCTCTTTCTCTTCAATTATTTTAAGACCTTGAGTTATCAGGTCCGACCAAGGATTAAACCTGCATGGGTCCCCCAGCTTGAAAGACAAGCGTAGTGACCGCCAAATTTTACCTGCTCGAAAGTATATAGTCGGTGCGTATATTTATCAAACAGATTTAAGAATTATTTATTTATTTATTTATTTACTTTGCCATCGTACTTATACATTCATTGGCTGGGAAACCACAACAGCTATTGCCAATTACAGCGGCCCCAATAGTTATACAGAAACAATTTACAAGGTATACTAAACACACACAACAGACAATTAATACTTGAACAACAGTCATTACATTTGTCTAAAAGCAGCATGTCAATGGAGAGTTCATTAAACTTCGGGCGGAATTGCATTTTACGCTCACACTTTTCCATGTCCGGGGATCCTCAACATCGTATGTATTTTCTAATGCTAAAATTTAGTACTTAAAAAGAAGATTCTTGAATTCTGAAAATGTTAGGTCTTTGGATGTAATATAATTGGGTAGTGTGTTCCACATTCGCCATGCATTACGATCGATGGCTTTTCCATGTTTATTTATGCCTTGTATAATATGAGTAATCGAACCGGTTGTTAGGAAAATAATATTGTGCGGAAATATTGTGAGCGGAAATTTTAAATATTTTTTTAGGGAGAGTGCAATTAAATTGGTTTGCAAGCAGATTCTCGTCAAGTCGGCGATTCGCTCCCCTCGTTGCGCAACGAATGGGGAACTCGTGAATTAAGCTCGCCCATTCGTTTTTGTCGCTTACTCGTTTTTCTCCTTAATTACAATGCAATGTCATATAGTCAGCCTATATGGCTATTCTAGATGCATTGTATCAATTGTAGATATCTATGCACGTGTAACGAATATCTCAATGATCAATTAATTAGAAATTGCTCCAATCATTGCAATCAGATCTTTTCGCGACAAGAAGAACACAAATCATTTGTCAGCTAAATGTGAGATTAAATATTTAATTCGGTCATGCAAATTGAAACCAAATTGCAACGCTTATCTGGGAAGATATCTCTAAACTAAACTATATATTGTAACTTTATTTATATATAGTGGGTGTACATGCATGATATATCAATTCTAAATGGATCCGCTCCTGCATGTTAATTCTGGTAGGACAGTACTGCACCTAAATTAAAATAAACTAACGGCTTTATTTATACTGGATAGCTCCATTAGTTCTAAACCATTTTCCTTATAGAAGTCCAGTATGAGTTATTGATCCAGTGACCGACTGCATGCATGCATCAGTTCTAGAATGTTCTCCCGCCATCCCCTATATTATTCCAGTGTTACGTGTACTACTTACAAGTCGGAAACCTAAAGTAAACTATAGACTGATTATAGCTGTATATACCAATTCTTAGCAATTCAATTTCAGAACCATCCACAGAAATACGGAAAACTAGACCCAAATTCCTTTTCCAACATGCAGACAATTTCAAAAAATATATTTGTCAAACTGATTAAGAAATACATGTCAAGAAGCTGACAAAGTGACGTCCAATTGAAGTATCAAACGAATAATGCAGCGACAACCGCGATAATGCTTTGATAAATGCATGGATAACTAATTCATGCGATAATGTGTGGATAATTAATTCATTTTATTTGGAATATCGTAGTCCGATCCGACTACGAAACAACTTTATCAATCCGATCCAATCCGAAATGAATATTTTTGTTCCGAAATCCGAACGAATCCGATCGGATTCGGATCGGATTTGCACATATCTATTAGGTACTCCCCTAACTGATTCAACTTCGTGACGTATGCATGTACTGTACCTGTACATATGTTTCGGTTTATGTATGAATTATGACTGTAGGACTCATCCAATTCTGCCCTTCATTACATTACATTATACATTACATTACATTATATACATTTATATATATACAGCCAATTCAAAAAAGGTTGTCCTTTGCAAATTCTAAACCTTAAACCTTAAACTCTAAGCGCGCAAAGTTTAATGGGAGCACAAGTTTCAAGCTTAGTAGTTGAATATTGCAGCTATTTGTGAATGAATTGTTCTCGTAAGGAGATATTTACTATGTCTCTAAGAAATGGGCCACATATATGATTTCTAAACTGATTAAATGATGCTCCCATTATGCTTTGCACGCTTAGAGTTTGAGGTTGAAGGTTTAGAGTTTAATGTTTGCAAAGGACAACCTTTTTTGAATTATCTGTATATATACAACATGACACTATCTTGTTCTAAAATAAAATCTTCGCGTGTGTGTAGGTAAGGCCCAGAAAAAGATTCAAATGTCCTGAATGTGCAAATGGCGACGTCCTTGGCGCGAACAAGGTACATTTCATGAAAAGATCAGAATTTATTCAAGAGTTTGTAAAAGTTTTCGGAAATTTACCTTTGAAGACGGCGGAGTTCCGTGCCGACCCCATTTTACCAAGACGATATACCAGCCGGGTTAAAAAGATTTAAGTATGTCGGTACTATTTAAATAATGAAGTGTTCAGTGAAGGAACCCCGTAATTTGGCCGTATTACCAGAGTGGTCGTATTAATGGGGTATCTTTATAAGAAAATGTATTGTCTTGGCGTTTCCAGAACACTTCAGTAGTTTATAAATGTGGAATTTGATCCAGTTACTTCTGTTTCTAGAATTATAGCCTGCGAACAGGCTCTCAAGTTGAATTGAGAGCCTGCATCGATGACTAATGAATTTGAATATCTGCCCCGTAACGTTCGTTTTTCCAAATATGGAATGTCTATCCTTATATGGTGTTGTTTACAACTTTCGTGCAAACTAAATTTAGACCGTACAAACTAAATTTAGACCGTACAGTTTATACTGTTTTTCGAAATATAAGATATTAAAGCAAAAGTTCAAATGTTTTAAACACTGTTTTCTCAAAACAGAACATTTCGTGCTTTGTGATAAGATGGCCAAGACCAATTTGATCAGTTAATGTGTTTTTTATGCATAGTGCTTCAGCAGTTGACATATATAGAGCTCAGCGGAAACATATAAATTATAGCATCTGACCAATGAGAATTTCGCGTCACGATTTGAGACGCAGATATTCAAATTCATTAGTCATCGATGCAGGCTCTCAATTCAGCTTGAGAGCCTGTTCGCAGGCTACTAGAATTATGGCTGTCTGGAAATTCAATTCCGGGAATTAAACAGCTCTGCATGTACCACCATTTAATCTCAATCTTTTGGTTCCCATGCAAATACTTTTGAATATCCCTTGGGTAACTTCGTACCAACCTAAATATAGTTACAGAAACTGATTTTGCTAGGAAGCTTTCTACGGAAGTTAATCAGTAATGGTTCGATCTTTACTTTTAAAATATGTGAATTGACTTGTGAATGGACCTAGTATTACCTAATGAACAAAATTTTGATCTAGACACGCGTCTAGACAAATATTTCATTACAGCTTGAAAGAGCATCACAAAATTAGTAATATTCCGAAGTTTCGTTGCGAAATGTTGTAAAATGCGGATAATATAGCCCTGCGAAGTTTGCCGTTTTTCAGTCATTTTGTATTACGCAGAATTTGATACCGCTTTCTGAAAAAAGGTTACAAAACCCTCTCACTGTGCGCACGCATGCATTGGGCATTATACAAAGTAAAAACATTCCAATGGCCATGCTTCAAAAACTATTTCTGGTGCCTGTAACAGCATTATCTTCCAGCTAGAGCGTGAAACGAAATCAATATTCCGATAAGGGCAGACAATTTTTGCATATATATATAGGCTTGCCCCTGGTTTGAATTATGTGAGACTAATTTTAGTTTTTTCGTGCTAAATAAAAATTAGTACAAACTTAAATGCATCCATATGTTTTTTTAATGCAATTCGGTGCATGGGCTGTATTTCGATCTATGCATCTGCAAATCAATTTTTCCCTTTGGCTTTCCCTGTATAAACAGTATTTTTGATCAACTTTTGTCACACCGCTCGCGTTCTTCTTTAATAAATTAAAAATTTTATTTACTAACTTAATTTAAATTTTCGGGTATATAGCATAATATGCGTGTAAAACTAGATTAGTTGATCAGATAATTTACTCGCTCTACGGCATTCAATTTGGTTTCAATTATTTGATTGACAAAACAAAGCGATTAATCACAATGTTTTTTGACATGCGTGATTCGGTCTCCTTGTTGCAATTTCTCGCCTAATTTTTAATTAATTGATTGGCGTGAAACTCTCTGTTACATAAGATTTTCTTTTTGTTCGGGATCCTCGAACATCGTGCTGTATGCCATATACAGCCCCGAGGACGCATAGCCAATATAGTTCGACAGATTTTGGCATTGATTTGGACCATTTCTATTCGAACAACATGACAGTTTGTCAATGATTTATATAGAAAGGCGTATAGGTGGAAACATATCATTATGTATAATGCTTCTGAGAGGAATTTGAGATTCAAATATAGGCAATTTCAGCTATAGAGTAAATTTTGATCTAGGCAAGAAGAACAAAATCACACAGCTAAAAGAGCATGTTAAAATTAGTAAAATTGCAAAGTTTGGCCGCGAAATGTTGTAAAATGCGGAAAATATTAGCCCTGTGAGATGTGCAAATTTTGTATTAATTTGTATTACGCGCGCGGGAAAATGCACCACATTTGTGCCGAAAGTGGTGCATTTTCCCGTGCGAAATTAGCCTAATGCAAAAATGTTGTCACGTGGATCTGGCCCCTGGGTAAGTCTGTTGTATTTGCCATTTGGCATTGATGAAGAATGAAATAAACAAACTTGTTCTTCCAACCAAAACAAGAATGTTTTCAAACACAGAATGAATAGATAGATAGTATATTTGAACTTCCATGGCAGCATACACTGAATTGCAGAAAAAAATACATTATGATTAGATAGATCAACCGGACTGACGTGAAGCAGAGCGAGGTAGACTTTGAGCTTACAAATGGCGCTTGAGCAGCCGCTATTAGTCCATACCTCATTAATGATCTGCCTCCAGACCTTATGTGTCTAACCCACCCTGTCAACCTTCCCTGTGGGAGGAAACACGGAGTACCCGGAGAAAACCCACGACTTTCGGCAGAGCGTTGACTTACTCTTTTCACATTAGGACTGGGTTCCAGTCACAATGAGAAGTTCTCATTGAGATTCGAACGTGCGGCCTTAGAGGTGAAAGGCAAGTGCGCTAACCACTTCGCCACCGACGGAATAACAACCGCGAGTTTTAAATTGTTGTATTGTATCGCTATCTCTGACAGGAAATGCAACTCATTAATTGAAGAATGCGAATGTTTTTGAAATTAACAAGCTAGGTAATTAGCCATTTCCCAAAGTCCTGGGTCTAGTCGCGCGAATCCCATGCATGCTTGAGGGACAAGAAATATGGCAGCACACATTTAAATTAAAAGTTTAATGTAAAAAGGAGATATTTCATTTTTGGTCGACTTAAAAGTTGATATTTGATAGTATAGATATACTTCGATTTACTCTTTCACATACTTGACAGTTTGTCACCATATATTTTGGCCCTCCAAACGATCCCAGAATGCACTGTGATCCGTTTTGGGAAAAGGTTAATTGTTTTTCGTCGTTTATTGGTCTTGAAATTAAATTTAAAGCTTTTAAAGGGTGTCACAATGCCCCCCTCATAGTTTTACGGCATCCTTCGCGGCTTCAGTCTTCTGGCGAGTAAAAACTTCAAACGTTTAACAGTCCATCTCCTTCCTATGTCTGCAGACATATATAATCAGGGTCCCCACGGTCCTTGAAAATCCTGGAAAGTCCTTGAATTTGTTAAAAAAAAAATCCAGGCCTGGAAAGTCCTTGGAAACTGATAAGCCCTTGAAAGTCCTGGAATTTTTTTTCAGTAGGCTGGAAATAATTGAAGAATTATTACCTGCCCAAGAATTATTGCCCAAATGTTTATTTTCTCCAATTTCAATTAGAATTATGTATAACAATTGTCCAAAAGTTGTTTCGATGTCATTTTTTTTCTAATTGTATTCCTCTCCTTAAGTTTAAGGATAAAGGTTAGATGATTTTCAAAGATTTTTCCAGTTGCCAGGTCCTTAAATATACTGAAAAAGGTTCTTGAAAGTCCTGGAAAAGTCCTTGAATTTCATCTTCACTAAAAGGTGGGGACCCTGTATAATTTTCTGGATATGATAATCATGGGGTCTTGGGTTATTGGCGTCATTTGTGCCCTCACTTTACCTGGCAAAACAATGTTAACACATATGTAAAATGTATAGTTTAAGTTACTTTCTGTTAAAGTTAATGATGCAGTAATAAATAGATATATAGGGGGAACTTAGCCCTAGCCAAGATATCCCAATACTGCATTATAGCTCGTTTTTCCACTCGCAAATCAACTCGCAGGCCCGAGTGCTTGCGTCTAATTAAAATAAACTGCATGTCGGGCATGCATTGTGATTGGATATGGAAGTACACGCAGTTAGCTTGCGAATTGGTTTTTGCGATGAGTGGAAAAGAGCCTTTAAAAACAATCTTTAAACATATTCACTCTATTGCAAAGCCGGCGAATATAGCTTTATTTTGAGACTTGATTGGTTCACTACTCTGGCTGAAGGTTGCCATTTACGCGTGAAACAATTTCAGCTCGTTTAACCGGCGGGTTGAAATTCAATCCTCGCTGAAAACTCCACATGTAATCAGACACCTAAAAGCTAGGACGAGTCAACTCGATCAATCACAAATCGTGTCGATATATTATCAGTATACGCAAACTTAGCGCAAAATTCTTTTTGTCTGGGTCAAATGTAGATTCTGAGAATTTTATTCAATAAATTACTTAACATTATATATAGTTATACATTATATCCAATTATATATATTATTCTACACCATATTATTTTATATACATGTTCAAAAATACTTTAGAGCCAGTTCGGTTGCCAACTGCCAAGTAAATATTTGTTGGAATTACGTTCTGTAGTTCATTAAATTTTGATTCGATTAGTTCAAAATGCGTCCGTTGCGCCCAAAATAGGCGTTTATCGTCTAATCTTAGTCGATATAGCCTACGCGTTGCAATCAATCAGTTGATTGCATTGTAATTGTCCCATGTCCCATATGTTCTCATTTGTTTACAAAATGTCAGAATCGCAGAAGAGGTTTTCAAGGTCTTTTCAAGACTTCGAAAAACAATACGTATGCCATGCACCACGCAATTTGTGATGTAGTCCCATCGGAAAGTTGACTGTTCATTCATATACTTGCGTGCAATGCTGCATGTTTGCAGCTATAAGTTTTATTTCCATAGAACCGGGTATATATTTGTTTTCGCATTCCACACAGTTGAGTTTTCCGTTGCCATAATCTCTTCGTATCTTTCTGTTCATTATTTATCTGGTTCTATATAGCGCGACCAAGGGCTGTCACATGCGACTTTGGATCATACCCCAGTATTGTTCTTGCTATTTTATTTTGCATCACCAGCTGTCAAAGAAAATAAGATAAAAAGCCATATGAGATTTTGAAATAACTTATTATAAACAATTGCATACTATAATGACTAGGCCTTATACTTTATTCGACTTACATGACTCACTATACGATATTGGTACAGTATAATTTGCTATTGCAAGTGGAAAACAGTTCGTATTTTGCTGAATCATTCTGCATGGAAGCACAAAAAATCATCTTTTGGACTGACTTTTAACCTTCAACTGTATTATACAATTGACGGAAGAAATCATTAGCATAACTTCCGCGAGTTCAACATTAGATTCACTGTTCGTTTGACGGAACTGTTTGAATTTTTTCCAACTGATAAGTTACGTATGTCGGTCATGGATCGGCGCTCACGGCTCACTTTATTAAAAATAACCATTTCGAAACACGTGCATGCAGTCAAATGATTTGCCAAAAACATATTTGCCAGAAACTCTGTTATTTTGAGATGCATGCAGAGAAGATATCGTGTGAATTATCACTAGCATTAAAACAGACGCTTACCGTGCATTCCTGGAACACGTCGTCTCGATTTGTCTTTGTTCTTAATTTTCCTTTTAAATATCGTCACTCTTTGTCCTCTACCTGTGTTGGGATTTGTAGACTTTGGTGACACTACTTTTTTCTTTAATACTCTATATGTACGTATCTTCGGCTTTATAGCTGTATTTACCGCGTCTGACTCATGCACGAGGAAAGCCGTCATTATAGACAAGACCAATACAAGCAATACAATTGAACACTTCATGATGAAAAGTTAGTTTGCGTTTTTTCCACGACCAAATTACTCCGATTATACAAGTCTTATAATTTTCTCTTCGCACTGAATATATATACTCAAACTGCAGCAGTTGAAAGACCAAGATATACACCGTTTTCGCAGTTGGAATCTGTTTGGAGACCAGTATACACTTGGCGACGGTCGAGATTGCTTTTGAATAAATTGCGTCGACCGCCCGTCTTTTATAACGCGCCGTCCCCATACCGCGATGCATTGCGCACCGATGCGCGCAAATCACATAGTATATCGGTAGCAAAATCTTAATTTGTAACGAATGTTGCTCGCCGCCTTCTGCATTGCGTTTTAAACTTTTTTCCGACAATGAGATGCTAAATTTAACGCGCGCTACGGTTAATTTGAGCCTGTCAAATCAAATGAAGCCCGTGGCTATGATACTCAAAATGAGATAAGAGATATTAGTTTTTGCGTATCTCTGTCGCGCGGTGCTAGCGGTGGTTGGTTTGGGCAGGGCTCGCTTTCAATCGCAAGCTCGTCCTGGGAAATACAAAAGACCGTTTGAAATTGTGATAGATGAATGGAATGCAACATAATGTATCCATTTTCCTCGTGGGAACATTGCAAAAATACGTCTAGAATTTTTTTTTTGAGGTGTCTAAAAATTACACGGGTTTTATTAAAATGATTTTTGGCCGTTCCTCTTTTTAATTTGTTTTCTGGGCCGCTTCAATATCAACTATGTGCAAGTTCTTGAATGAATTCCACATCTTTTGCAAAAGTTTTGATGGCTTGCAATCGGACCTCCATCACTGTTGTTTGACTGAATGTAAAATTGATCATTAACGCACGCTATAAATACCAGCAATAACAAAAGCAGGTCAAAATTAGTAAGTGCATAAAATTTGTGCCACTAGCGTCAAAATTTGTGCCACTAAAACTGTGCCACTATAGCGTCGTTTTAGAAATAGAAAATTTAACGTAGGAAATGTCAATCCCATGCGTGCAAATCCTCGTGCATTTTCTTATACATCTTCGAATCTTGTATTGTTTTTAAAAATAGCGCGAGTGCCAGAGTTTTCAACAGAAAGCTTCCAACTTTTTGGAATTGCCAACTTTGAACTGCTCTGACTTTTCATTTTTCCTGTTTATAGCGCACTAACATTTAAATCGATTCAAAAAGCATGATACTTAAAAGTTTGTAACTGAATGCATGTGATAAATAATGGCGTCTCAGTCGTCTCTCAAAAGCGTGGTTTCAGTTTAATTGGCCGATCATGATCACGTGATATGAAATAAAAATTACCATTTTTCTGAGCGTGCAATGCCAACGAAATTCTAGAGGTGGTTCAACGCTATCAAAGTTTCTGTGATCACAGTAGGAATTTTGCATATAGATAAATTTAAAGTTTTGAAGAATTTGTAACCAATGTTTGAGGGACCTGACTCGGTGTTTAACACTAAGCCAGTTCCCTCGAACATTTCTTACAAATCCTTCAAAACTTAAAATTTACCTATGTAAAACTCCTACTGCATGTGATCACAGACAGTATAAACCAGCCTTGCCTACACAAAATAAACTCCATTATCATATTAATTCTTCACTAAAACATTCTTGGGACGTTTTTGTAGGATTTTTATTAGAGAGTTTAAGATCTACGACGCGGCCGGCTCAACGACGCGGTCTGAATTTCAGCTAGAAAATGAACGCTAAGCAATTTCATTACTGTAATAAATGTTTGACGATTTTCAAATAACATTACAAACTGCTAAGTTTGACTAAAGCGATGCAATGTTTGCTGTAATTTCGACTTTAAGTATCACCTTTTGGGTCGCAATAAGCTTCGCGTTGCTTGAAAGACGCGATAATGCTTAGTTTAACGTTCTGCTGAGCTGACAAAGCCGTTGAGAATACCCCTGGGACCACAAATTTATTCACAGTTTTTGTCTTGCATGACAGATTCTTTCTTTCGCAAGCGCGTCGTTGAGCCGGCCGCGTCGTAGATCTTAAACTCTCTATTATGTACATGATAAAAACTGAGAAATATTTTTCTGAGAATTTGTTTTGTATTTAATTCAATTAAAAATTTGACAAAAATATATCTATTTTGGTGTTATAGATAAAACAAAGAATGAATGTTTTCATTCCTGCAATGGTAAAAATATTTTCATTCGGTGAAAGATGGAATTTTTTACCATTGTATACTCATAAACATCCCTTATTTGTATAATATGTTCCATTTTTGGAAAACAACATAAATTCTCGGAATCTTAAAACCCTCCAGCAATTATCCGAATAAGGATATGTGTATTTGCACATTCTTAAATTGAAACGCAAAGAAATGAGATATGGGTTTGAATGCTTTTCACTGGATTATTTTCCAACTTGGGCAGAAAAATGTTAATTTTTTGCCCCATTTTGGTCAACATATGCATGGTTAAAAACATAAGCACCCATTGTTTTTTATACACTCGTCAATTTGATAGAATTCCAAAATTTCACAGATTTCCAATGTTACAGTCGAGTGAAATTTCTTCAGGCTAAAAGAGTTAATAAAAGAAAGGTCTTGAAGTTCGTTCCAAACGCTGACATCCCTATATTTTTGAAGCAACGGTTTATCGTTTATATTGAGTTTCTCACGCATTGTTGAACGGAATTCCAAACGGGTAGCTATTGCCCAATCGTTCGGGGATCCGAAGTACCTGCGATTTTAACATCCTTTCCGAGAAGACGTGAAAATCTAACCAATTACTGGTGTCGATATAAAGGTAGCTCTTTCTCTTCAATTATTTTAAGACCTTGAGTTATAGAGGTCCGACCAAGGATTAAACCTGGGTCTCCCAGCTTGAAAGACAAGCGTGGTGACCAGGATATTACCAGTACTGATACCAAATAGTGTAAAGATGGTATAATTTATTCGAATGGAAATTTATATACATTTTAGTTATATACATTATACTATTTTAGTTTTAATCGTCAATATAATTGACAGTATAAGAACTACCCGCCAAAGCAGAAAAACTTTTTACTATAATGGACCTAAGGTTTTTAATCCGGCTTAGGTCACAGTCTTCCCTAGATACTTTTAAACTTTCAATGGATTTTAACTTAAGTAACATATTAATATCATAACTAATAGTCTGACTTTATTGCAGTTTTTATAACATATATAATTGATAGAATGTACTATAGAACTTGTTGTAGTTATATGGGGCTCTCGTTGATAACAGACCAGTTGTGGTCTGATGAGACCACCCTATCAAAATAAAAGTTTTATCTATCTATCTATCATTTTTAGACCTATAACCTGCAGGAGCAGTTCCAAAAAAGCAATCATATAGGCCTTCTGGCAGGAAAAGAACTAGTCCTCCAATATTTAGGAAAACAACGTATATGCATATAAATTATCAAGATATTAATAGAGAAACAAATCTCGATAAGTTGTACCCAACAATTTATAGCTATATTAATATATGACCCCTGAACACCAAAGATCAGTAATGGTTATAATCAAATTAGTTAATATACCATATATACCATGCTTAAAGTAAAGTAATTTTAGCTGTATAGTGTCTGTTTGCAATTGACATAGTAGTATCCTAAAAGGGAACCAATTTGTATCCAACTCTTTTGCCGAAATTCGTTTCTTCAACGCGCGGTTCCCAAGTTCGTTGGGCGACTTGCCAATTACGTTTCCAAGTTTGGAAATTGGGCGCAAACTTCGCAACTGAAAGTTCGCAAGTTCATTTCAATGTTTGAACTTCTTTGTTTACAAATGTTCATACTCAATAATAATAACCAATTCAATGAAATAGAAACCTTCTTGGTAGCCCACTGGACCAAGAACTTTCCATTGAATTGTTAATTTCAACTTGAGCCATGAACATTTGTTTACAATAGTACAAACACTGAAATGTACGTGCGAACTTTGTTGCGAAGTTCACGCCCAAGGTTTGAACTTGGAAACGTATAATTGGCAAGTTTGCAACGAACTTGGGATCCGCGCGTTGAAAAGTGACTTGAAATCGACAATAATTTCCGCTAACACTGTACTTGCATGTAAACATCCGGCATTTCGGATCAACAAATTGTTTAATTCACCGAATCAGATTTAGATTAGGGTGTTGTTTTTTTCTTTCTCCAACCAATAAAATACTATTATTTTTGTTATAACGAATTTCAATGACGTTGACATCCATTTCCCGTATCGTAGATACAATATTATAGTGGAATGTGTAGTTGTTATTGATACAACGGAGTTATGAATGAAAACAGATGGAATCGCTAAAAAGTTCCTTAATTTTGCAGACGCCTTAATTTGAGCATAATACCATTAATTAGGCCTAATTTGTTTTGAAATCACCTAATGTTTTGAGTTATTTGGTATTGTCGTGCAGCCAGACATAAGTTTATGTTGTTGCCAGGGGCAAAGTAATTTTGGGTAACTTCTCAAGTTGTTCTCACATTATGACGTCATCGCCGCCATGTTGACTTTCGACATGACGATAGTGTACTTGTCTTTTGTGAACCTTGGATATTAGCACTGATAAAACTTTCTTGGTGCACATGGCGGTTACGCACGTACTTGCAGTCATAAACCAGTGATCTCCATATACAGCTAATTCAAAAAAGGTTGTCCTTTGCAAATCTTAAACTCTAAACCTTAAACTTTAAGCGCGCAAAGCTTAATGGGAGCACATATTTTAAGCTTAGGCTTAGTAGTTCAATATTGTAGCTATTTGTGAATAATGTGTTCTCCTAAGGAGATATTTACCATGTCTCTAAGAAATTGACCCCATATATGATTTCCAAGTACTAGATAAAGCATGAGCAGCCGATCTGTATCTAACCTGCGATGCGAGAGTTTGTATATCAGATAAAGATCGGATGCGAATGTTTTATCGTACTTAAAAAATTACCCATCTTGTGAGTTCATTTGCGAAGTAATTTTAAAAATAAACATTGTCTAAGCCGAGTAAATCAAAGTTAAAGTTTATGTAAATCAGGACAAATCTGTATCCGATTTACAAACATTGATTAAACATTCATTTCTTTTGTATTTTCCTCGTGAATTATTAATGAATTTTTAAACTGATTTAATGATGCTCCCATATTATGCTTTGCGCAGTTGTTTAAGGTTTATAGAGTTTAAGGGTTGCAAAGGACAACCTTTTTTGAATTGGCTGTATAATTATGTAGAGTGATAACACGAGTCCAAAACATGAAGCCAAAGATGGAGCTATTGGGTGTCAGTTTCAGTCTCTTTGTATTGTTTTTGTCTGCAAGGATTGGGA